TAAGTGAAGCTCAATATAACTCATTTTACTCAAACGAGTTGTAATAATTTTATTTGTGTTATACATTAAAATTTATTATAATTAACGTGAGAATTAGTTGGTGGTGCAATCAGCGCATAACATTAAGTTTGGGGACAATTTATTTTAATGAAAGAAGGGCGTGTAGGACGGAACATTTCTGAAAAGCCGTGCACATGCCCTCGCGGATGACGTATAGGCTTCGAGTCTTTTGCGAATATACTATAGATCAGTTCTGAATACTTTGTTCGTAATCTAAATAATTCAATAAATATATCATTGATGAAAAATATTTTCATGTATTGTAACAATTTATACAATGTAACTTTTTCTATTTATTATATTTTTAATTTAATTTGTTAATATGAATATGTTTTAGTGTAAGACTGAATAAAAGAAATTATCTCAGCAAATGTTGAAAGATTTTAAACATAAATATGAGCATCACGTAACGCTAAACTATGAACCCTGCCCCTATGTATCGCTGCCTTAAACCCCCTCTCCGCTCTTCAGTGTAACGTAATTTATGGACGACCCTATAGGGAGTTTTTCAAGGTATAGCAGACAACAATTGAAAGCAATCTTGATCTTCAGCAGATGCAAAACTCGAACTGCGCACCCCCTGAAGATGAATATTGCTATTTATTGCAATATTTGCCGTGGAATAACTCCCAATTATGAAAGAGTTACGAGTTAAACCTGGTCATTTCTTGCAAATAAAACGATAACAATATAATTGATGAATAATGTTTCTGACACATCATGATTATACGAGTATATGTAACCCGTATATAATAATCGCTGCATCCTTGTGTAAGTAATATCTTACATCATATCTACATCGTTGAGGCTTTTTAATGACCCTATGGCTTCTAAGAATAAGGCTCTCATTTTGACAAAAATAAAATTGAAAGTTTAAAAAAAATTGAATGAGTTAAATAGTTCTAAAATTCTGCTCCAAAAAAGTAAATGGTTACCCGATTTTCAGATCCAAAACTTTCAGATTCGCGTAAGACAACTTGCCTTAATAGTTTAATGTCAAGACTTCAAAAATCAAATGCTCAAGACAGTTAATGAAATTATTACATTTATGAATATTAATGCAAGTTTTTATCGACAGCAATGAAATTGCGTTTAATGCCTGTAAACTTTTTTATTTTTTAGCTATTTAGTCCCATTTTCAGCTATTTCTCCGTGTTTTCGAAAATTGCAAAAAGTTAATATTCACAACTACAAAATTAAAGGTAAGAGATTTTTGCTTCAAACGAAGTCTGTTGTAAAAAATCAGCTTTTCAAAAAATATGCACACTTTTTTATAAAAAAAAGTAGTTTTCACGTTATTTGCACTTGAAATTAATGCAATTTCGAAAAAAAATATTTTCTCAAAAACAGCTGCAATTTTTTGTTTAATTTTTTTCACGAATATAAGAATAGGAGCTTAATTCAATGGCCTGGGTTTCATTTTCGTCGAACTCTCTGAATTTTCGAGTATTTACAAACTTTGAAGTAATTCGAAAAAGTATATGTTGTAGTTGTACCACTAGTTTATTACACATTCATGGAAACTTACATACGTATACTATAGGAGTTATTATCAATATGTCAGGCGACAGCCATGTTTTTTCATGTCACCCCAGTGTTTTGTTTCTTTGAGGTTCTCTATTGCTTTCTACAGCCATGACTTCTTCGCAGCATTCATTCGGCAAAGTTCATTTTGCCGGAAAGTAACAGTTTCCAATGAATAAACGGTGGAGAAGCGTACAAATGTCCACGTATTAATTCTGTGTTCCAATGTTTTGCAGTTGTTCGGGTCCGGCGGCGCGTAACGCCGAGGCGCAGTCACGGGGCTGGATGGATGGCGATGGCGAGTGCGAGCTTAGCGCTGTGGTGCTGCATTTGACGCAAAACTCCGGAGCGCAAGAGTAAGCTATATTTCCAAGCTGTCATGCATTCACCCATCCATCCAGTCATCCATCCAGTCATCCATCCAGTCATCCATACAGTCATTCATACAGTCATTCATACAG